TCATTGGAATAAATCCCACTTGATCATGGCATATGATCCTTTTAATGAAGTATTAAATTCAGTTTGCTAGTATTTCATTGAGGATCTTTGCATCTATGTTAATCAGGGATATTGACCTGATTATTTTCTTTCTTTGTGTTGTCCTTTCCTAGTTTTGATATCAGAGCAATGCTAGCCTTGTAAAATGAGTCTGGGAGTATCCCTCCTCTTCTGTTTTTTGGAAGAGTTTGAGAAGGATTGGTGTTAATTCTTCTTTAAATGTTCAAGTAGAATTCACCAGTGATGAAGTTATCTGGTCTTGGACTTCTGTTTGTTGGAAGGTTGATTAATGATTAATGATTCAGTTCCCTGGCTAAGAATCCATTCAGATTTTTTGTTTCTTCATGATGCAGTTTTGGTAGGTTGTGTGTTTCTGGGAATTTATCCATTTCTACTAGGTTGTCCGATTTGTTGGCATAGAGTTTTTCACAGTAGTCTTTTTTGATTCTTTGTATTTCTCTGGTATAAGTTGTAACAGCTCTTCTTTCACTTCTGATTTTATGTATTTGCATTCTTTTGCTTTTTTTCTTGGTAAGTTTAGCTAAAGGTTTGTCTATTTTGTTTATCTTTTCAAAAAACCAGCTCTTAGTTTCATTGATCTTTTCTGTTGTCTTTTTAGTCTCTCATTCATTTCCACTCTCATCTTTGTTATTTTGTTCCTTCTACTAATTTTGGGCTTTTTTTCCTAGTTCCTTGAGGTATAAAGTTAGGTTGAGCTCTTTCTTGCTTCTTACTGTAGGCATCTATCACTATGAGCTGCCGTTAGGGGTGCCTGGGTGGCTCAGTTGTTTAAGCATCCGACTCTTGGCTTTAGCTCAGGTCATGATCTCAGGGTTTTGGGATCAAGCCCTGTGTTGGGCTCCATGCTCAGTGGGGAGTCTGCTTGAGATTCTCTCTCTCCCTCTCCCTCTGCCCCTCTTTCCCCTCTCTCTCAAATAAATAAATCTTTCTTAAAAATGCTTTTACTGTATCCCATAGATTTGGTATATTGTATTTACATTTTTATTTGTCCCAAGGCATTTTTTGATCTCTCTTTTGATTTTTTTCTTGACCCATTGATTTTTCAGTCACATGTTGTTTAATCTCCAAATATTTGTAAATTTTTCTGTTCTTTTTATAACTGATTTCTAGTTTCATACCGTTGTGGTTGGAAAACATGCTTGATGTGATTTCAATCTTAAATTTATTAAGATTCATTTTAAGGCCTTACATATGATCTGTCCTGGAGAATGTTTTTTGTGTGTGCATGAGAAGAACATGTACTTGCAGTATAATTTTTAAATCTAGACCTTTAGGTAATTTTAAATTTATGTTTATATATGGTATGAGCAGGAATCCAACCACAACTAGGCCCAGTTGACCTAATACAATTCATTGTATGCCTCCTGATCATATTCTAAATCCAGTGATCTAATTTTATCAGCACAATACTCTTCTAATTATTAGTGTCTTTTTGCAGTATGTTTTATAATCTGGTAAGCTAGTCCACACATCATTTTTCTTCCTTTCAAATATTTTCTTGGCTCCTGTTATATATATGGATAAATTTAGAATTAATCATCAAGCTCTGAAAGAGCCTTTGGGATTTGGTTTGGAAACGTATTTGTGGTATATTTTTAGGTGAAAACAAAATCAGTTCACAAATACCCTAAATACTGTCATTGCCATTTTGTTTCTAAAATTACATGTATATATAATAAAACAACATCTCAAAGAATATACAAAAAAATATGTAGCAGTGGTTATCTCCTGATGCTAATATTATAGTTGATTTTTTTTCCTGGTTTTTGTTTTCCAAATTTTCTACAATGTGTGTGTAATACTTTTTAAATTAGTAAAAAAAGATACTAAAAAAATACTAAACTAAAATGTATCCATTAGTAACTTCATGATTATCTCCTTAACAAACAGAAGTAAAATGGGAATAAAAAATGTTCCGCAGGAAATAAATATGTGAGTTGTAGAGAGTGAAGTGCAGATACCTGGCTCAGAATATAAACCAAAGATGTCTGGAATGTTCCTGGGAAGGACTGAGATGGGGAAACGGAGGCAGTACAACTGTACAGCCTCCTCTCTTACTTTGCGTGGTTGACTTCAGTTCCATTCAAGAGACGTGAGCCTCCTCACCTAGCAATCTTTCCAGGCTATATTCTCTGCAGCTGGATTTAAAAGGCACAGTTTCTTTGGTTTCCCCATTTCAGAGATTCACTTTCATACAACACAGCCAGGCCTTGAAATGCGTCAAGACTTAGTGTAGTCTAAATCTGGTCCTTGCATGTCCTGAGGTTTTAGTCAACATTTAACAGAAAGAAGATTGCAAAATCTGTTCCCAGTGCTTTGATATATTTGAAGCAGCAGCATGCTCATTCTTGGCTCACAGCATGTAGATTCTGTCAGCGGTGTGATTAAAACTTGGTTCTGTTTGCTCTTTAATCAACACGCTCTGTCAAGGTAATCTTACCAATTTAGCAATAATTATAACATCTAACATTTATCAAACATTTTCTGTGTGTCAAGCATTGTACTGCACTTGATATGAATATCTCATTAAATCCTTAAAACAGCCCTATAAATGTATTGCTCTATTTTATAAATGAGAAAACTGAGGCTCAGAGAGATCCAGGTCATACAGATTAGTAAGTGCCACAGCTGACATTGAAACCCAGGCAGCCTAACTCCAGAACCTGCATCCTTAATACACTTGGAACTCAGTTTTTAATCCCTCTGCTTCCCTAAAAACCTGCTCTGCCTCCTGCACTTTCAGTCTTATTTGCCTAATGTCCGCAGCTAGAGCTGTCAAAATGATCCTCCACCTCTCTCATTGAACTTCACCTCCTACCAGTCAGTCCTACCTTGAGGAAGTCTCACGCCCATCTGTCGCCGTCCGTGTCCCCTGGCCCTGCCCCATGGCCCCGGGCTTGACACAGTAACCTCCCTTGGCTGATTCTTCCTTCACTCAGTCTAACTTGTTTTTATCTTCACAGTTCTCTTCCAAGAGCATGAAGCTGATCATGTCACTGCACTGTTCAAGAGCTCTTAGAGTTCCTTTTTTGTTTGTTTGTTTTTTAACCAGATTAAATCTGAACTGCTTAGCTCTCCATCCACAGTCTGGCTCCCGTCTGCCTCTTCAGCTTCATTTCCTGTCATTCTCTATGCAGTCCCCTTACCTTACGCTCCCACCGCACTGAAAGGTTCCGTCTTCCCGAGGTCTGTGCCAAGCCCCTTCATAGCTCTGCGCATCTGCATTTCTTTCCTCTGCTTGAAAGCCTCTTCTTTGATCTCCCCACAAACTCCTCTGCAGCTCTCAGGATCCACATCACATACTGCCTGCAGTAACATCTGCCCAGACCCCTCCAGGATGCAGCTGTCATTCTTAGGTCTTCCCCTGTAGCACGCGTTCAGGCCTCGCTTGTGGTAACTAATTATCTGTGCATGTGTTTGTCTCTTCCATTAACCTACATGGATCTCAGGGCAAGGACCAAATGCATTCATCTTTCAGCACCGAGCACACAGGAGGCCCTCGATAAATGCTGGCTTAATGCTTGAAGGAATGTCCAAGAGAGCGTTTGAAACAATAGGAAGTTAGAATTATACTTACTCCTAAACAGAGGACTATCTTATGTGTTTGTCAGAGTAATCTCTTTTAACTAAATTAGCAGGCCTAAATTAGCAGGTAGTCTAACATACTGAATAGAAGTGGTTTATAGCAGGGCGCCTGGGTGGCTCAGTTGGTTAAGCGACTGCCTTCGGCTCAGGTCATGATCCTGGAGTCCCGGGATCGAGTCCTGCGTCGGGCTCCCTGCTCAGCGGGGAGTCTGCTTCTCCCTCTGACCCTCTTCCCTCTCATGCTCTCTATCTCTCATTCTCTCTCTCTAAAATAAATAAATAAAATCTTTAAAAAAAAAAAGTGGTTTATAGCAAATGGGGAAAGGTCTATTAAATATAAGTTTCCCTAGGACAGAGGACTATTATGCAAGATTAAGATCCATCTGAGATCATGGGTGTGCCCCTCTCCCCTGCTGGGCATGGGTGTAATATTGTGACACAGTGGAGAGAACATTCTCCCTGGCGTGAGAGCACTGGTGCTGGCTTACCCCCTTTGGGACTTGGACTAGTCACCCCTTCACGAGCAAACACTCGATGTTAACTTGGACCCCTTCCTGGTTGGGAACTTTGATGCAGGAAGACTTCCCATAGAAAGTGCCTCTCCTTTTTTTGGTCATTTCTTTTTTCATTTCCAGCTTTATTAAGGTTTAATTGACAAATAAAACTGACATAATAAGTGTACAACATGATGGTTTGGTACACATTGTGAAGATCCCCATAGTCGAGGTAATACATCTGTCCTCTCACATAGCTCTTTTTTTTCCCTTATGAGAACATTTCAATTTTACTCTCTTAGCATATTTATTTTTTTAGGTGGGGAGAGGGGCAGAGGGAGAGAGAGAATCCCAAACAGGCTCCATGCTCGGCAGCACAGAGCCCGATGCGGGACTCGATCCCACGACCCTGAGATCATGACCTGAGCTGAAACCAAGAGTCAGACGCTCAACCAGCTAAGCCACCCAGGCTCTCTTAGCATATTTAATTATACAGTACAATGTTATCAACTGTAGTCATCATATTGTACATTAGATCTTCAGACCTTATTCATGTTATAACTGAAAGCTTGTACCCCTTTACCAACCTGTTCCCATTTCCCCCACTCCCCCAGCCCTTGGTAGCTACTATTCTACTTTGTGTTTCTGTGAGTGTGTCTTTTCCCTCCCACCCCCCATTCCACTTAGAAGTGATACCATGCAGTATTTGTCTTTCTGGTTTACTTCACTTAGCGTAATGCCCTCCAGGTTCAGCCATGTTGTTGGAAATGCCATTTCCTTACTCATGAGCAATAACAGTTAACCCAGTGCGAACAGCATCATTTTACTTTATCTGAAGTCCATCTTTCCTTTCCCTTTCAGCTTCAAGATGAGTTAGAAAAAGGTGAACGGGACAATGCAGAGCTACAGGAGTTTGCCAATGCCATTCTCCAGCAGATAGCAGATCACTGTCCCGACATCCTGGAGCAAGTGGTCAATGCATTGGAAGAGTCATCCTGACCCTGCTTTGTGGGAGCAGCCAGCCCAGCAGCCTGCTGGAGTAAATCCAGGAGTCAAGAAGGAAGAGCTGTAAGGAACGGGCACCCAGAAACTTCCTGGCACCCAACAAACACTACAAACTCTGTCCTATCTTGGTTGGTCCTTTGAGTGTGATTCCAGCACCCTTTCTACAGCTGGACATCTTGACTCTGCCTTTCGACTTTGGATATTGTCTCTACACTAATTTTCCTGATGTCCAGGGTGGGTAAGTGGCCAGGTTTCCATGAAGAACTGCCATCCAGTCATCAGCAGTGGAGAACTGTGGAAGCTGGTGGTTCTGCCCTTACAGAGGGACATGGAGTGGAGAGCCCTTTTTCCTTCTGCCCTTGACATGAGAACTAAACCTGGAATCTCCTTGGAGTTCAACATATTGAAAGAAACTTCCCAATGGACTAGAGAGCTGAGTGTTCTAATATCACAACAGGTGCTTTCTCCTAAAAGGGTAAAAAAAAAATCTTAAGAGGGGGAAAAGAGAGAACAGGGACAAAAGAAATTGACTCTTCTTTTTACTGTCTCTTTTGCTTACTTTCATGTGTAATGTTTTATGCAGGGGAGCTGCAAGCAGGCCTCATGATGGCTTGGTGAACACTAATACCCAGAGTTTGGAGTCTTTACCCAGCCCTCTCTGTCTCACTCATCCTTGTTCTTCTCAACCAGTTAACAAGAGGATGGTGTGGACAGTTCTCCCTGGGTCCCTCTTGCTTAAGACCTTTGACCTTATTATACTTAGGTTGTCAGATCATACATCTGGATCTGAAGGAGAAGAAGGGTTTGACGTGAGACCCTGCTGTCACCGCCTAGAGCTCTGCTTCTGTAGAAGTTCCCTGGGGCCAGGCTGGTTTCTCCTACACATCTCCTTCATTGGCATTCTAGGCCCCTGAGCCCCAAAAGAATGATTCTGCCTTCCCACCGTCCATGTTCCACCCACCTCCCTCCCTTTTAGCTTTACTCTTGATGTGCACTCCCAGAACCATAGCCTCGAGCATTGTCTGAAACCTCCTTCTGGCACAAATGAATGTCTCTCATCCCACACACATTCCTTCCTCCATTCTTTCATTCAGAGAATATTTATCAAATGCCTACTGTGTGCAAGTCACTGTTGGGTACCCATCCTTGACAAAAGTCTCTTTTCAGTGAGGGAGAAATGTGAAGGACTGTCTGAGACATAACCTGGTTGAGTCAAAGCAGTCAAAGGCATACCCTTCCCCTCCCCACTCCTTCTCTTAGTAGAAGTTCTCTTTTCCAGATGAATCTTTCACAAATCAGCCTTTCTCATTTCTCCTTATAATGGAATTGATGAGGGGGGCTTATCCCCCTTGAGGGGGGCTGAGTCAGTTACTTGCCTGCAGGATCTTATTTGGTGGTTCAGGATTTTCGTGGTTGTTGTTACCCCGCAAGGGTGTAGTGTTTAGGGGGGCTCCAGCCGCGGATGGTGTTTTCTTAACACATCCATGCACATCACGTGGAACTTGGCCAGCTCCGTGTGTCGCAGATCAGAAAATGGACCCTAAAGTTGCAAATCCAGTTGAAGGTATTGGCATTTTGAACGGCATTCTTCCCAAGCTTAGACAGTGGCAGTCATAAATAATCAGGCACCAAGAAAGAGACCACTTCACCCAAATCTAGCCCTTTGACCACCTCTCCGGCCAGACGCCCACCAGACACTCACGTCTTCTGATAAGAGTTGCTGGGCTAAATGTTTTTGTCTTGCATTTTCCTCTTTCCCCCTCCCCAGTTACTCACCCAGAGAATCTGATACTGCCTGGAAAGTCACGACGGCTGTCAGTCTGGTATCTTCCCACCGGCAACCCTTGACTGTCCCGTTAACTTATAGGGTCATATCTGCAGCTGCCCGGATTCCCTGCTATTGTAAAACAGCCTCTCCTGTGAGAAGCTGTAGAATGTTTTGTGTCGAAGGTTTAAATGGGTTCTGCTCATAAACTTCTTACTGAGATGCTTCCTGATAGCCTGGCCGGCCAGAAGCAGACAAGGTGGGAGATGGAGGGGTTACATAGTTAGTCGTGGTGGTTTGTCGTCAGTCACCTATTCCATGTATTTCTTGCACTGCCTGTTAGTGATGTAGAAAGCCCCACGTATCTTAGGCCTGGAGTATTAGAATCTCACTTTATCTACCATAACCAGAGACCTGAGGGATGAGGACACCCTTACAGGACCCACGCAGAGCAGGCAGGAGCAGAGGCCGTGTCCAGACGGGTGGCCTGGCCCTGGCTGCTACCCTCTAGCAGGTGGGGGGAGGGGGGCAGCAAGCAGGTCTCCCCGGGTCCTCCTCATTCTGTCTCTGCTCTCAAATATGGTACCTGCCATGCTTGCCCCCCTGGGTGTGTGACTCTCACTGCACCTCCTTTCTTCCCCTTTTCATTTCAACCCCTCCTGTTGCTTCCCCTGGAAGTCCTCTGGACAGGTGCTTCTGAGAAGAAAAATTTCTGGGCAAACATCATCTGTCTGGTCTCTGTGAATCTCCTTGATTCCTCTTGGGTGGTCATCCTAGCACCTCAAATGGTTCTGAGGACTCTTTGGTTCTAGATGAAAGTAGGTTTTAGCTAAACTTTAATAGCAAACGTGACCTGACTTTATATTACAAGGGCAAAATTAATACAATGTCTAGCACTTAGAGTATCTTGCCGAGTTGGGATCATTCATTGAGCCAACCTTTACTAAATGCGCAATTCCCATCACACACAGACTTACCACTGCATGACCCTCTTCTGGTGTTCATTTTCACAAGGTCACTCAGCTGCTGGGGAAGGTCTATAGCCTTGAAAACTCACTGCAGTTGCCTATTAGATTCACCAAATTCATCCATTCCATTGGCAGGTCTAGTTTCCCCTTAGCACCTAAAGATCTGTACCCCAAATCAAGGTCATCATAAAAGGGGACAGGAAGAAGAAGAGTGTGTGGAATCTAATGTGGGGCTCATGACTGACGAAATACAATGTGATTTTTCTCATCTTCTCATACACCTCTATCCCAGGTACTCATTGAGTTCTTGGTGAAGTATCTGAATTGAGATTTACAAGGACTTGGATACCATTTGAAATGGAAAAGATTTTAAATGGGCTTTACTATATTAAGAAATATGAACGGGAATCCCCAAATCCATCTCAGCTCTAACCTTTAACCTGGTACCTTATAGTCTAATGAAGAGCTAAAATGCTTCTCTGTCTTCCTCACACTTGATCTTTAGAAATGCTAGTAAAGCAGATGGGACCCAAGACTGCCTTCAGGGTCGATAGTGGCAGTGTGACTTGGCACTTTTTGTCAATAAAAGTCTGTTTGGTTTTCCACGAGGAGTTCGTTGGCTAACCCACTCCTCAGAGAGAAGAGGAGGAGGAAGTCATCACAAAGTTTTAGTCAACTGGTGAGCTAATCCTTCCCCTACGACGTTCAGGATTGGCCTTTGGATTTGCTGCTAGAGAGTCCTGCTGATCCCAGAACCATCCTGCCCACCCTTTTGACCCCAGTCGTGAGGCACAGACCCACTGGCTACCCTCGGGGGGTTCTGAGGAAAGAGCAAATCAAGGAATATGGTGCCACATAGAATGTGACCCTCCCACGGCCCTTCCTGAGTCACAGTGGGCCCTGTGGCCGTAATGTCAGTAACTTCCATGTCTGCCTCCCCAGCCTCACCTGCCACCCGCAAGAGTCCAGAGCTGTGGAAAAGCAGATGGGGGCAGAGTAGACGCAGCAGAGCCTGCTGCCCTTTGCCAAGCCTGCAAGGCCAACCCATCCATCACTGCCAGTCCCTGGGCCTCTCAGGACAGCGACTTGAACTGGTCAAAGAAATGTTTTAAAAAGAATCTGGAGTTTTCCCCACGTGGACTAAGGGAATGTTTGGGCAAGAGAAAACACACACGCATTACAGGGACATCCTTCTGAACAAAATGGCTGTCTTTACTTACTCTTTGTAAGCAAAAACTGTTTCCAAACTTTTTAGTGTCAAAACTGTAACCAAGTGTCTCCTGATTTTCTCCAATGTGTTTGGCGAGTGCTGTGACCCTCTTGTAGGTATTTCTCCTCCTGACTCTTTTGGGGGAAAGGTGGTTTTAGGGATTGATTTGGGGGGAGCGGGTTTTTGTCCCATCCCACATCCTGTTTTGTTTCTCCGCTTGTCGATACTGTCTGTGTGGTTCAGAGCATTGGGGCAGTTACATTGTGGCCATTGTTGAGATTATTAAGATATTAAAAAGTAGTTTGTAGAACTGAAAAGTTAAAGAGCTGTGTTTTAAGAAATGCAAAACGATATCATGTTAATAAAGGAATTCAAGCTACGGGGCAGCCGAACTCCTCCCCCACCTCCCCCAAGTTGGCCGAGGTGGCAGCTGGGCTAGCCCCTTGGGAAGCACCAGTGGCTACCCTCCAGGTAGTGAAAGAGACAACTGCTGAGTCAAAGGAATTGGAATCCGGGGCTCAGAGGGTCCCCACTTGTGCCAGAGATCTCCTCTACATCCTCAGGACCTCCGGGTAGAGGTTTCAAAGTTTGTGACCCCATAACCACCCTCAAACCCACCTTGGTCCCAGCTCAGTGTGCCTAATACTGTGTGGTAACCTGGGCTTGGCTCTGAAGCCCCACAGCCGGCGGCAGCCCTGTGCGGGCCGCAGACCCTCTCTCCTGCCCACTTGGTGCTATATCATCCAGTGACCCATCCAGCACGGCCAAGCGCGGGCCAGCCTGGAGCCCGCAATCCAGGCCAATGAATTGTACTCAGATCTCAGTTCCTTCTGGCTTCAGGCCTCAGGTTCTTTCCCTTGAAGCTTCTTAGCGCCTACATCTCCCAGGCCCAGGCTGTCTCTGTAGGCCCCAGAGATGCCATGGTCAGGAAAGGACGGGATCCCTTGCTGAAGCCAGAGAATTACCCCCCTGGGCCCGCACAAGCGCTCCGGGCCCAGCCCTCGTTTGCACGCCACACCAGTATTGCATTCATGCCCTGACGCAGCCAGACCTACCCGAGGGCCACCCCCCTCCCGTTCTGGCCGGGCTGCCCACGCGGGCCTAGCCCACTGGCCTGGGACCCTGCCGAGCATCCCGGGCTGTCCAGGATGGAGACCTGACGTCTCCCCGGGATCTGCTCCCCTCTGCCCCAGAAGACAAGTGCTGCGCTATCGTGAGAGGAGCTGAGGGGCTCTGGGTGCCGACTCCTTCTAGCTTGAGTTCCTTGTGCTGACAGTAGCAGCCGCTACGATGGTGTCTGTGATGCAAATGCACCCGCTGCCTTCAACCGCGTGCGTGCGTGCGTATGTGTGTGTGTGTGTGTGTGTGTGACGGCCGGAGTCGTGTTACTGACAGGATAATGACATTACAAAGAAATTGTGTTAGAGTCAACTTTGCCTTGATAATTATTGTAAACACTTTGTCCATTTTTTCTTTTTTATTCACAAACTAAATCCATCAGGAAATTATAAAGTTATTTAAAAATCGTGTGCTGTGTCTTTCTTTGAGTCTCAACCAGTCTGATAAGCCAA